TTACACGTGCTCTTATCGCTTATTTTGACTTAGCAAAAACAGCGGACCAATGTTTCGCTACATTACAACGGGTGAACACTGGAGGTTAATATTATTCTTTTCTTGTTGAATTACTGTGTAGACACACTGCTGAATATTTTAGGTGAACCATTACCTTGGCTCTTGACCAAACAGTTGCATGCTCTACTACCAGCTCGCACCATTCATTACAATATCCATGGAGCAAGTGAATGTTGTATCGGGATCTATTATCGAGTGCCACGAGATAGTTCTGATAAAATCGAAAATAATATTAGTCATGAAATTATTGTTCCTTCTGGACGATCCGGCTTCGGTATGGCTGCGTATCTTGTTGACGAAGATTTGCAATTGATTACAGAGATTGGTCAAATCGGAGAAATCCTATATAGTGGTGAGTAAATTCGTAAATATATAACGTCTTCAAGAAAAAAAGACATGAATCCATTGAATTTGTAGGTGGCGGTGTCTTTAAACACTATTTGAATGATGTTGAAAAAACCGAGAAAGTACTCATCAAACTACCTTATATAACAGGTGGTGAACAACTGCTCTATCGTACTGGAGACATAGCTAAATACAGTAAAGATGGCAATTTGGTTGTTATTGATCGTAGAGATTTTCAGTTCAAAATTCAAGACCAGAGAATCGAAGCAGCCGAAGTGGAACATATTATTATGGCCTATTCTCCATCGATCATCAATAATTGTGTGGTGATGAAAGCAGTTCATGAAGAACAAGATCATTTGATTGCCTATTTAGCTGTCGGCAGTAATGGCGACAAGATTGTCATCGATGACATTCGCCGATATTGCGAGCAGCACTTGGCCTCGTTCAGTGTTCCGTCACTTTTTATACTCTTGCCAAAACTACCAACGTTACCTACTGGAAAAGTAGATCGAAGTCAAGTAAGACATGTATTTTTTGTAGATGTCGATGGGAAATAGTTGAGTTTCTGTGTTATAAAGCCACTTTGTTACGAATTTCTTTATTACAACGTACGGGACATCCTGTGTAACGTCTTGATACAACATTTGTTGTTACAATGTGGATGCACTATAATACTGGCATAACTAATTAATCTCAAATAAATTCCCAAAAAAAAACTTTCCGGTGACCTCTCGAAATAAATCATTCTGAACATTTTCATTGTTCTCTAGAAATTTTAGAATGAATATAGTTTTGATTCTACTTATCAGACATGAGTAAATACAGGATGCGCCAAAAGTAAGGCAACGCATATTTTCTGCGATATTCAGTCTGTACATTGTCAGTTAGGTTTGATATTTGTGCGAAATATACTAGATAATAGTATTAGGGGTGGCACGGTTAAGTTAATTGCAGAGTTAATTAGTCTTAACTTAACCGAATGAAAGTTAAGTTAACAATTAACATAACTTTTGGTAAAACGAACGTTCATTAACCTTGCCCTGTCGTCTCAGAAAGACATCATCTTACCTCATGTTCGATCCCAATTGACTGTTTCAACTTCTCTTCGATCCTTTACAATTGATTCTTCAGTTCCTATTGCTCTTATATGATGTTCAACTATCCATATATTCCTCTTGAGAACTTTGAAATAGATTCTGAAATCTTCATTGACATTCGAGATTGAACATCATGGAGATTTGAATCAATTTTAGCTGTCACTTGATTCCATGCTAGCTGTTTCATAGTGAGAGAATCTGTAATTCAATCGAAGGAACAGTGATTGCTCACTTATATATACTCAATAGCTCTTCATACATCTGAAAACGATTGTAACTTATGGTATCAGTCGAATAATGAGGAATGGTGCACAAGATCATGCCTTTGTCGTCTTTCGACGAATATTTTACTTTCCTCGGTGTCGACATACATGCATAGTGTGATAATGTCGACTATATAAGATTAGATGCATATGAAACTGTTCTTCAAACCAGTGTTAATGCTTGTTGATTCAATAGAGCGACTCACTAGTGTCAGATATTAGGTAGTACTGATCACGACTACGCAGTTGTTCATCAGTGACAGACATGCATGTTGTTTTTGTCTCATCAAAATACGTACATTCGATTCGATATGTAAAGAACGTACAGATGAAAATAAAACAATGTGTACTTTCGACTAGAAAGACTATATAGCAAGGAAAAATCTAACTAGATGAATCACCATTCGTTGATTAAACATATGTTGACCGATAGCCACGACTGCGAAGAAATAAAGCAATATATTAAAATGGAAATGATCAAATTTGATTCGGTTGATTTTTCTTTTTTCTATTATTGATGCAATGGCATATTCATAACTGTCGACATTTTTTTCATCTCGTTCCTCGAGTACAGCTGCGTCAAAAATTCAAGCAGTGAAGGAAAACCTTCTAAAAATCGTTGGTATTGCATCACAAGTCACGACTACTAATGCGCAGATCATCACTATCAAAGAGGAATTAGCCATCTTCCTTTATCCCATTCGTGAAAATGTCAAAGAGGTTGACTTTCAGCAACTCTAGATAACATATTCAGTCAAATTGTCTCGGCTCGTTCACGTTGATCGCCGACTCAACGTTATATCGGCTACAAGCGTTTACTATGAATTAATGTTCAGAATGGCTGGTATTGTCAACAACAAAGCATGCGCGTCTCTTTGCTCTGGGTCGCTTCGTAGCAACACAATCTTGATATATTGCGTTTGTATCTTCCTCAGTAGCTCGTTTTGAAACATAGTAAAATGGCATTTTCATTGTTTTCTATTGACTCTTGCGATCATTTTCTGAGATGATAGCTTGATTATGTGTACTCTTTTACTTATTCTTCGATTATAGCACACAAAGGCAAGGTTATATCACCAGAGAGGTTATAATCCATTTGAATACAGCACCTATGTAACACTGAAATAGTAAAACAGATAATTCAGCATATATACATCTAATCTCATGTAGCCGACATTATCACACTATGCATCTATGTCAGCACCGAGGAAAGTAAAATATTCGTCGAACGACAACAAAAGCATGGTTTTGTATATCATTCCTCATTGTTCGACTAATGCCATATATCACAATTATTTTCAGATGTATGAAGAGCTATTGAGTATATATAAGTGGACAATCACTGTTCTTTTGATTGGATTATAGATCCGAACACTATGGAACAGCAAATATTGAATCAAGTGACAGCTAAAATCGATTCAAACCTTCATCATATAAGAGCAATAGGAACTGAGGAATCAATTGTAAAGGATCGAAGAGAAATTGAAACAGTCAACTGGAATTAAATACAAGGTAAGTTGATGTCTTTCTGAGACAACAGGGCAAGATTAATGAACGTCCGTTTTGTCAAAAGTTATGTTAATTGTTAACTTAACCTTAGCAGAGTTAAGTGATTTATTAATTTAATGTTAACGTACTACCTTCAAGTAGTACGTCAAGAAGTAGCACAGCATTAGTCTTTGACTATAACGGTGCGTTGATAAGCATGTTAATTTATCTCAGCTCATGTACTCATGTGAAGCTGTAACAGAACTTTATCGTTTCTGTGCACCGTGATTGGTCATGAGCGTTGAAGTATAATAGCAAAAGATCTAAACAATCCACCGTTTTCCGCGCAGACTGTAATAGATATGATCATGTCTGCCACAACCCGTGTAAAAAAAAGTCGCGAAAAATCATTTGAGTAATTTTTCCAGAAAAATAGCGAAAAGAACTTTTAGCATAATCCCTACGAGATCAAATCTGAAATACAGCAGAGTCAGTTTCATTGTGCATGAAGACCCTCGCTATATATTGATCAAGATCCGCAACAACCCCAAAGAAGCAGCATGTCGAACTGTCTGTAAGGCGGGAGGGAGAAGGGCAAGTCACTACTGTTGGATTATGAGATGTTCATGGTCTGAACTTTGGAAAAATTTAAATTCATTGACAATGGTTATGCTAAAACTCTGGTTAGCCATGTTTTTATTCCAGTTTTTTATATCTCAAAGCTAAGTGGGTGATCAACGAGAACCTTTTTGTTTTTGCATAGTTTCCTCCACCCGATTTCTCATTACTGTACAAAGTCACAACCGACACTAAACAACCGACAACAGATGTTGAGAAAAAGATTCATCGGTTGTGGTGCGATTTATTTCATCTTAGCCAACTGCCGATCAATTCCGATTTATATTCTCTGGGTGGAAATTCTCTTCAACTCATGCGATTATTTAGTCAATATGTATCTGTCTTCGGCTTAAAGCAGTCCACTTTAAATATAATCGATTTTTTGGATAAGAGAACCATTGCCCAACATGCGCATCTTCTTGAATCGCATATAAACAATTATTTTACTGAACAACAGCAACAGATATCAGACTGGCAGCCGCTTCATCAAACAGATGGTAAGAAAAGGAATGTAGTTTGCACATATTATGAATGATAGTTTTGTGTGGTTGAAGGTCCTGCTTCCTATGCTCAAGAACGTATTTGGCTTGATGAACAAGTTCGATTCGATCAACAGAAAGAGGCCATCGCTATTTACAATCTTCCTTTTGTTTACAAGCTGGAATCTGGTCAACTATCAGTTCAACGTCTCTGCCAAGCTCTTAATCTTGTGATCAGAAAACATAGTACCTTGAGAACAGCATTACGATTTTATGACGATTGTCTCTGGCAACATGTGCTTCCTGTTGATGAGAGAAATTTCGAATTCAAAGAAAGCTTAGTATCAAGCAATGAAGAATTCAACACCATTGTTATCGATGAAGAAATAAATCGATCTCTTTTCAATATAGAACAAGGACGTGTTGTTCGTTTGCACATTGTTCGACATAGCAGTGGTACCAAAGAAGATTGGCTCGTGCCAAATGACGCCGTCATTATCAATTTTCATCATTCAGCTTTCGACGGTTCTTCAATCAAGCCATTCTTTACCGATTTTGTCAATGCCTATTGCTATCAAGAGTTAACGCCTTTTGATTCGAATACATTGACCTATCTCGATTACGCATCACACGAACATTCAATCGATATGACTGAAGCCAAACTATTTTGGGAACAAACGTTACGTGATTGCAATGATGAAAAACATTTTCCCTTTCCTTATGATCATCCAGAGCGCCTTACTTCTCCTCGTTCTGGTCGTGGATCAACTATTTCTTTTGAACTCGATACAGAATTAGTACAATTGATAACCAACTTTGCCAATCAATCCAAAGCTTCATTGTATCAAGTATTTCTTACTACCTATTTTGCTTACTTATTTAAACTGGCTCAAAACGAGTCAGATTTGTGTGTATTAAGTGTTGTTGCCAATAGACCTCGCCCCGAGCTTCATTCGATGGTTGGTATGTTTGTCAACATGATTCCTTGTCGTTTACAACTCGATCCTCAAAGTTCATTCAATGAACTTCTTGTCACTGTTCAAAATCTTCTTATCAATGCTCTTGTTCATTCTCAATTTCTCTATCAGAAAATCGTGTCATCAATACCGATTTCTGTCAATACTGAATTCTTATATGAAACAAAAGAAGAATATGGCGCAAGTGACAATATTTTATTGGATGACAACATTCATTTGACTCGTGTCGACTCAGTGAATGGGGACAACACTCAAGTAGCTATTTTTGATCTTATTATCACTGTTCGACATGATCCAGACAATAAAACTATAAAAGTATTATTCAATTATTCGCAAGATCTATTTGATAAATGCACAATAAAAATAATGACAGAGCGTTTTCACGTTCTTTTACGACAATTGTTTGAACAGAATATTGAACAACAACAACAACCAATTTTTAGTCTTTCCTTGCTATTACCTAATGAAATACGGCTGCAACATGAACTCAACAGTACTCATTTGGACTATAAGCATTCACTCAATTGTCTTCCAGAAGATTTTGCTCAGCATGCAGACATACAGCCTCAAAAAGTAGCTATTATACTGGATGAACAATCCGTAACATACGGTGAACTTCTCCACAGTGTAAATCAACTTGCATTTCGTCTATCGACTGAATTCAACGTTCAACCAGGTGATATTGTTTGTCAATGTATTCAACGATCGATAGAGATGATTGTTGGCCAACTGGCTATTCTTGCATGTGGTGCTGTTTATGTGGCCTTGTCACCGAATGATCCGCCCTCGCATCTTGCCATTCTTATTCAGCAGACTGGGGCTCGTCTTACTCTTGTTCAACCGACGACACGTGCTAAATTCGACAGCATCATAACGACATTAGATGTGACCCATGATATACAAACGGATGAGCTACCGCCTCCTGTTCAAGTCAAACTCGATAATCTGGCTTAGTGAGTTTGTTCTGAAATAGAACGTGTCTTGTAATAGAGCTGATTCGTATAATTGTAGTCTTGTTTTCACGAGTGGCTCCACTGGTGAACCGAAAGCCGTACGTTTATCATGATACTGTTGGATTTTATGCTTATGCAATTTGCTTTATAGGTTTCAATCACACATCGCAATTTTGTGTCATGCATCTTGTCATTCGAACATTTTGACATTTTCAATCAGCGAGATATTGTTATTCAAATGGCTCAATGTTCGTTCGACGTTCATGTCAAAGAATGTTTGGGCACTTTAATGTTGGGCGCTACACTTGTTCTTCTGCATCCAAATGGCAATATGGATGTCGATTATCTTTTGACAACAGTTGAACAACACCAAGTGACTTTCTTCAATATTGTTCCATCTCTTATGACTATTCTATGTGATCATCTAGTGGAAATAGATAGCTTTCAGAAGTTGTCGAGTATCCGATCATTCGGCTTTCTTGGTTTGCTTCTTTTCTTTCAATCATACCGTCATTTATACACATAAATTTCGATTGTAGGCGAGGCAATCATTCCAAAGACGCTTACCATAATGGTAGATCACATGAATTTAAAAAATATTCGTCTATACAATTTGTTTGGTCCTGCTGAATGTACACTTACATCGGTCTATCATGAAGTGACGCACGAAGATATTAAACGTGGTGAAATTCCAATTGGTCGTCCATTTCCCAATATGCAAGCGTTCATCTTGGATGAATATCGGCAACATGTTATTCCTGGTCAAGTGGGCGAATTATATCTCGGCGGTGTTCAACGTTTCCCAGGTTATTTCGGTCGAAATGATCTCACTGACCAGGTTAGTACGAAAATGAAGATAATATGCCAATTTTAACATAAATGTGATCGAAAAAACTATCGGCAGATGTGAATCAATAAAAATGTAATTTCAGAACTGACTAAATGTAGAATTCAACATTCACATATTCATTTTTGAAATGAAATAAAGCTCAACAGAATTTCAAATCTTTCTTCTATGTAAAATTGGAATAAATACTTTTAACATCAAAAGAATATAATAAACTCGAAGCCATATGTCTGAGATTTTTGAATAAAACCATAGTGCCGTTTCGCGCACCGCGTTTCGAAAAGCTAATGACCATCACCACAAACTGCCGTTCTTATCTGTCTCCAGGCAGTTTTCAGCTTTGACAAGGCAATAATACAAAATTTAGTCTTGAGTCTGATATTTTCGATGAATCTCAGTCCTGTTAATAGTCAGTATGATAGAAATACAGTAAGTATAGTGATCTGTCTAGTTGACTTTTGGAGAAAAGATCGCAAACTACTCAGTTTGTTCTGTTGTGACCGATCTCACACGTAGATATGTTAAGTTTGATAACGAATTGCAAGTGAGCATACATGTTGGAATAGATCGATTGTTTTATGATGCTTTTCATAAATATCGCTAACGTGCAGTGAAACGTATTCGGAGGTTTTCATAGCAGCGTACCTTCATAGAAAAAGTAGTGGAAGAAATCACAAGAATTTCGTTGCATGATAAAGTATAAAGGAACAAATAATCGTTGAAAGATGTTTTCTATTTCAAGCTGAATTATATCACGGTGTATTATACAATGAATCCGTTGCAACGAAATGAATTTTTGTTGTTCAACACACTCAGGAAAAGCTTTCACGTAAAACCACGGTTGAAATGAGCCACCAAAATTAGATTATTTTTTCGTTTATACATACCAGTCAACATCGTTGTAGTTCAGTACCCTTGAGAGAACAGGGACAACTGCAGTTCAGACAGAGCTATCCAATTAGAGTTGCGATTCTCTATGTTCTGACTGCAGTATTTATGCATCGCGGTTTCGAAGCTTTTTCATTGGATGTGTTAGACTAAAGGAGTGGTGTGCTGCTTATCCATGAGATTTCTATGTGAAATTTTTCCGAACTTTGGGACTTAGCAAATCTCATTATGCGATTAATTCTGATTTCGAACAGTCGGCAACATAGTTCCTTGAAGAATGACCTCGCCTAATTTAACGAAATGCAAAGGTGCGGCCAATTAATTTGCTTTAGCCTTGGTGATTCTAGTGAAACTGACGTTTTCAACAATTTAAGGAAGTCGTGTAAATCGGACCGTAAATGAGATTTGATGAACCGTTAGAAATTGCGGTTTGGTAGATTGTTGTTTCTAGCGACTTTTGACAACTCATTTACCATCTAACTTTACAGCTCACAAAGTTACGTTGAAGTGCAGTTTTTAATGTATAATTTCTTCGTGGGTTAGAGATCACAATATTTCCTTTGACCAACCAACAAGATGATGTCGACTTTCTTCGAATTTTCAATAGTAATGTTTATGCTCCTAATCGTTGACGCATATGTGAATTCCACAAAACTCGTTGCGTAGAATCCAGTATGTGGTGACTAAGTTCGATCAAAGTACTAATCACAAACGACTTATCCTGTTTTCAATAATTTTAAATGCTGTGACAAAAGCGGTCTATTTCTGCAGTAAATACTGGTGTCCTACGCTGAATTTCTCTTGAATCTACGTTGGTTAAAAATAGTATTTTGCTACATATTTGAAATTAAAGATTCTTTTTCAATGTTCGTAAAGCTTTCATAAAAGAGTCTACAAGATGCGGAAAATCTATTACAAAACTGTCTTTGTATCTCACAAAATGCAGATGCTTTCACGATTGCTGCCAGCAAACGCTGATGGAGATTCTCCGTTTCGTGAAAGAGCAACAACAAACTATTGAAGAATACTATCAATATTGTGAAAACCTACTACTACTGTGTCTAATTTGATGGATTAACCATCGATTAACTAATTGACTTTTTACAGGATCTGTTGAGGGTGGTGTTTATGGGGCGTTTTCGGCATGGATTGTAGATTAAAATGAAACCACTCAATAAGAGAAATAGTTTTCCTCTCGATCTGCATGAGACTGAGACTGAGTTCGTTAGTTCCTTCTCTTCAGAAGCTATAAATGCTTTCCCGAATCTCAAGTTCGACTACAGTAGATCATCTTAGATCATCTCGAAATCGACTATATCGAGTCAAATGGTGATGTTTATTGTCAGTTTCTAAACTAGTTGAAGTCATCATATTAAGATTTTTGATGTATCCACTCGAGACGCTACATAGCGACAGAATATGATGCAATTTCAAAAAACCTGATAAGTTGATTTCCATCAGTTTCTAAATTGAAAATAAACATCCTTAGTCGACTATACCGAACTGATTACCCTATTTTGAGTTGATTCAAGGTCAAATGGACAACATCGCGGTTCTCGGAAGATTACTTTTAATTCTTGTATCAAGCTAGTTAGCAAGACCAGACTGGCGTAGATCGAACGAGAACAATATTCACTATCGGATAGTACTGTTATACGACCAAATAGAATAGAATATGTTTCAAAATACTGACCATAAAATATTCAACAAAATCTAATCGGATTGATCATTTGTTGATATCATAATTAGACAGTCAGAAACAAATTGGCGTATAGTTAACTCATTAGCAGGATCTAAACGAAGTAAATTCACTCAAATCTGATCTATAGTTTCATATAAATCACTAATCAACTACGTAGATCATAGAATGTATGCACCTCTATGTTTTATTTGTAAAAAAACAAACACTAGAAACAGAAAGAACAATATCCTTTTCTAAAAAGAACATTCTAGCAAATCATAAGCATGACTTTTTATGAATATCTTTCGAATAACTAATCTAAACGAAGCTAACTTTTCAGTGTACATTCAATTCGCTCTATCAAACCGGTGATCTCGTTCGACAAGATCCGACGACAGGTATTCTCTTCTATTTGGCTCGAAAAGATTTCCAAGTCAAATTATATGGGCAACGCATTGAATTGGAATATATTAAGCGAACAATTTTGAATGCTTCCCAAATGGTGTCTGCCTGTTTGGTGACGAAATATCAAGAACAAGATCAGGAACATCTCGTTGCTTATGTGCAAGTTTCGTCTCAAGTTGAAAATTCTCAGTTACGTGATTATTGCGAATTGCATTTGCCTCCATTTATGATTCCATCTGTCTTCATTATGTTGAAGCGCTTTCCACTAACGGCAAATGGAAAAGTTGATCAGAACGCAATGCCAAAGCCCAATTTTAGTACAGTAACACATAACGAAAATGATTCTTATTCACATCCGGTCACAAAGCTCGAAGAGAAACTTCAGAATATTTTTGTTGAAGCATTTCATTTCGAAACATCTCCTGATGTTAATATCTCTTTCGGCCGACTAGGTGGTACATCGCTCGAAGCTATGCAAGCTCTTTCACTCATTCGACAAAAGATTTATTCAAAAATGGATATTAATCTTCTATTTACAAATCCATCTGTTCGACAACTTTCTAACGCTCTTCAACCGCTGATTACTGACAACAAGCATGATTTGGTCACAGAAACGATAAAAAAAGATGAGAATGAAGCTTCTCGTCCAATACCATCAATTATCATTGAAACCATTGGTATTCTATTTCTAGTTATTCTTTGGATCCTACCTATTCTATTGATCATTTCTTCCTCTTTAATAATGCTTCTGTTCACTGTTCCATTCATCCATTTATTTACCTACGTACTATGTAAAAAATTACTATTTCCATTGGGCATTTCAAGAATGGAAGATGTACTCTTTTCGTCTAAATACTATTGCTGGTGGTTTCTACAACGCATGTGGACTTTAAATACTTTCTGGCTCATTCATTTACAGGGTACATCGTTCTACAACGCCTATCTACGTTTGTGTGGTTCCCTTATTGGTTACCATACAAACATTGACACATCATTTATCGATACACCAGATCTTCTCGAGGTAGGCGATTCAACCTACATTGGTGACGAAACTGTTCTTTCTTCCCTTACCTATTATGATCGCACCTTTAAACTGCATCCGATTCAAATCGGTTCGAATTGTTCAGTAGGTTGTCGAGCTGTTCTGCATGATGGAGTCGAGATTGAGGAACGAGTTGTGGTGAAACCCATGTCGCCTGTCACTGGTCATATTTCAAGTGGATCAATTATCGATGGTTCATTACAACAAATTGATAAAGATCAGCCTTCATTGGACAAGAATACTAATGCACTCTCCAAATTACAAGTAGTTTTTCAATTTATTTCAATTTTGGCTATGTTGTCTCTTCATACTTGTCTCTTGACATTGGTTTTTTCGTGTCTACCATCGATAATTCCATTATTCATTCGTCTAGCCATCGTTTGTCTCACTTGGTCCGTCGGTCGCATGCTTCCATGCATTGTTCTTCTTAAGTTCATCGTTGGCGAAGCACAACCGGGAACATATTCAATGAATTCATGGTATTTTTTGCGCAAACTATGGCTTCGTCAACTTGTTGTTCGATCGTTGGCATTTTCATTCGTATCCAATGTTGGTCCTTATCATCTTCTGTTTCCTCGTATTTTTCAGTGGCTCGGTGCTCGAATCGATGAAGCGAATGATATTCGCATATCTCAAGCCCATTTTCTACTCGCTTTTCCGACGAATCTTGTTCACATCGGACAAGGGGTCACAATAAACGGATTCGTTCTATTTATTACATTCAATGTAACAACAAATGGCCAGTGTAAAGTAAATCGAATCCGACTCGGTCGCAAAGTTCAACTTGGTAATCATTGCACTATCCAGCCAGGAGCGAATATCGCTAACCAAACACTTGTCGGCACACTGACTCGTATCGATGAAGAGACAAATATTGTAACTAACGATGATCGTAGCAATGTTTTGCTTGGCATTCCATCTCGATTGATGCCTTTTCAACAATTTAATCTATTCTCAATGCCAACAAATAATATTCCGCCTGCCATTTACTCCGATGTGACGTGTACTATTGGTATTCGATTTTTGGTTAATATAATTCTATCATTTGTATTGATTCATGCACCTCTATTACTATTGATTTATTTTCTTGCGGCAGAACAATTTCTTTCTGTATTTTTCTATGCATTACCACGTGAACTCAATTTGATTGATCGTATCAACCCCTGGCAATATCGATTGGCCATGGCTTTGACACTTGATTTTTATACTTTCATCACACCTCTTCTTGGTGGCACTCAATGGTTGGTTATTCTACTGCGTCGTCTCAAAGCGAATATTGGTCAAGATGTCGTCGTCGGTGACATGAATGCAGTCGAAGATTGGGAACATGTGACTATTGAATCGCATGTTCGTGTGAACGCAACAGCCAAAATTCAGGTGAGAGAATATTGATTAATCCATGGGAAAAATATCACTTTTCGGAAAAAAATTCCTTGTCGATTGTTTCGTGTTGGTTTTAGGTCGAAAATGATTACAAAATATCTTTGGTCAAAAAAGAATGGGAACTTGAATGTGAGATTGTGACAGATTCAGATCATTCTTTAGGGCCATCTTAGTATTCTCATGCGTATTCAGCCATGATAGGAGAATAGTCTCCGAAGATTTTTCATTTTTTATCGAAAAATAACGAAGATTGGGTCAAAATACTAAAAAAGCACTAAATTGAACGAGTACTCTGAATAATTCTATAGTATCTTGAGAGTACTGGTCTGGTTTAGTGCTTTTTAGTAGTCTGACTCAATCTTCGTCATTTTTCGATGAAAAATGGAAAATATTCGGAGACTATCCTCTTATCATGGCTGAATATGCAGGAAAATACTGAGGTATTTCTAAAGAATAGCGTGAATCTTCCACAATTTCACGTTCAAATTTACATTTTTTTCTGGTGAAAGATGTTTTCTAGTCATTTTCGTCCTAAAACCGGTAAGCAAAAGTCGAAAAGAAAAGTTTTTCTAAAAAGTGGTATTTTTCTCATGAACTCATTGCTATTTGCTACCGTCTTTCAAATTCAAAGTGTCATACAAGCGAAGGCCGAACGAGCCGTCTGGTTCCGGTCACTATAGGCTCCTATTCGCGTCTTTCGCATTGGGCATTCGTCTTTCCAGGAGCGATTCTCAATGGCAATAATATTATTCATCCATTAACACTCATCATGAAAGACGATCAGTTGCCAACAAATACACAATGGAGCGGCTGTCCGGCGACTTCACTGAATGTTACAGATGAATCATGTTCACCAATATAACTTTTGAAACCACAGAACTTCTCATGATGCCATTTTTCTTGTATAAATACCGTTGATTTACTCCCGCTAGCGCTTGCGATTTTTGTTCCCTGATATAAACTCTTGTAAAGGCTGCTTCCTACCTAAATTTGAACTATGAATTAGAAAAAAGAAATTGAAATTAATCGAGAAGAGAACAGCTTCAGAAGATATTTCATTGATAAACATTTTTGCAGCGTCATCTATAACAAAAAAGGTCTGAGTGTGAGGTGTGAATCGGGTGGGCGTGGGTGTGTTGGATGTGGGGTGTAAATGTATGTCTTCTCTTTACTCACACCCTGTTCTTTTTAAATAACAACGCGATCCGAACTTGTCAAGAGGACAAATACATATTAAATCTGATGAACAATCGCAAGAATTCTTAATTGTACATTATATTCTAGAATACCCATCAAAACATTGACAAAAGTATTTATCCGAATTTGAATAATGTCTACATTGTTCGTGTAAACATTTCAATGAACAAATTTTCGATATAGTTACAATTTACCGTAGAGAAATATCTACTTGTAGTGAAAAATGATGTACTGGTAAGAATGAATATCGAATAGGATAGAATAAACTAACACAATATATCATTATTAGTTGATCACAAGTATCAGTGTGTACATAATAAGTATGATTGGAATGTGTTGGTCATGTTGAATAGAGAAGGTAGATACTGATTTTTTTCTGACAATCACGTATTGAGATATAATCAGTTTGTTCCGAAGAATGAATGTTTGCATATCGTGAATATCGTTTGCAATTCCGCTGTTCGGAACTGTAACGTAAGGGTGTGAGTATGAGTTGCTGATAAAGAGAAAACCTTCATCCACACCGACACCTATACGAATTCCAAAATCATTTCATCGGAATAGCTCTTCTGTGTGAAACAGAAAAAGAATTTTATTAAATATAAATGATCATGCTTTCATATTGAATATAATTTCAGAAGGATCAAGGCATTCTTCCACAATGTTTATTTTTATACTAAATACCTGATTTTCGTTATAGAAGTTAAAAAGCGTATCCACATGTAAAACTAACATTCCACATTTATTTTAATATTAAACCGTTTGATTCACATATTTTAGAAAACGTGTCAACCTAATTAAACATATGTTTATTTTAATGTTGTACCTTCACGTCCAGAGAATGAAGCCTGAAGAAGAGCAGCAATCCAATAACCATCTGTTGGAATAGAAACTATAAGTGAATAGGAAATAGTTGAACCAATTTGTTCCTATGATATAAGGACAAAATTGAAAAAAACACATATAATACTAAACGATTTCTAATAAAACCTCGAATTGAACAGCTGTATTTGTCCATATGATAGGATTAAAAACAACGTTCCCATAAGTTTGATCAAGTTTTGCTCGTCGAAAATCACGTCTACGAAATAAGAAAAAATATCCACGTTTATATTTTACTTTCCTCTGATTCTACTTCAAAGTATCCCTAGTACGAGCTTGATAAGCAGTAACAATTGCCGGTTTCGGTCTTCCAGCACTGAAATCAATGACAGCATGAATGATGCCGTGTGTTCCATTCACAGTGCGTGTCCATTTCATTGATGGTAAAGGTACTCTCTATATTTCTAAGCAATTAAATGAAGATAGAAGTTAATATTTACTTACATCTGCAACACTTAAATAGAAACTCAATAAACTTTCTTCGTATTCTGTTATGCTGTGATCAGTATTAGGTATTCATCTATGTATAAAAAATATTATTTCATTTTCTCATATTTTACTTAGTTGTCTTACCTCAAATAAGATTCACCAGTAGCTACCTGTAAATCATTCCAGAAGAAGTCCTAATAATAGTCAAGATTACTTTTCATGTAATACCGATAGACGATGAAGATTATTTTACTTCATTGTTAAGTAGAAAAAACTCATTGCTAGCAGCTTGAAGTTGAAAAATTTTCGTTTTACTATATCGATCAAAATATGCTATAGAAACAAGAAATCATTTTTTCGATAGTCTAACAATTTATTCGATTTTTTACAGTATGGATCAATCATTGCAATCAATTTATCAAAAATAGAGCTATTCATAATAATCACTCAATGCAAAGCTCCATCCACCTAGAGACAATCAAACACAATGTGTCATTTTTATTGATCAGATTAATGCGTACGCGATAATGGGACATCATATTCTAAAAACAAAAGTAATTAACTGATACATTTGGTGAAATTTTATCTTACTGGTCGGAAGTTCAGTAGATCCATGACGATAGGAACTGCACCTATGACTCGTTTATTGTCCACAGCTGCAGTTGTCCATGCTAGAATTCTACATAAAATACCCAGAAGACTCTTATATATATATATATACATCTTCACTCATCCATCCACGCTATAAATTAAGAAATTAACACAAAAGTTTAAAACAAATAACAAATGAAAACATAACGCTTACTTTTGAAGCACCACCGATAACAAATTCTTCTGGTACAATAATGTTTTGTTGTCCTAAGAATTGTTGAATAGCATCCATTGCCCGTACGACTGACTTTTTTTTTTGTTCATAAAAGAAGCAAACAATTTCAAACATACGCAAAGACTATTTGATTTTTTTTTACTTTTGTCATTGGGAAAAGAAGAAACACTTTTGGATCAGTACCACTGGTATCAAGAAATCTTTTCCATGTCCAAGCAATAAGTGCATCTTCTCTTCGATGCTTCTTCAATGGATTATCCTTCAAAAACTCCATCATCATAGTATTTAAAATATTGAAAGTAATTGATTTTATTTGATGATTTATTAATAGGACATTGATAGATGAATATCTCTGAATTCCTTTTTTCATGTAAATAAATATACTAGAACATAGACTTACGGATTATTTCCATGATTGATTAATAAGAATGCCGTTTTATTACGACGAATAATTCTTGGAACTGTAATAGTTACATAGTGCCACCAAATTGGTTGCGAAGAAAACGACTCTATATAAGGAAGTTTAATTTAAAGTTCTGTAAGAATATAACTTTACCATCAAACCATTGTTGTAATGTCATATTTAATACGTAGAGCATATGAGTCGGTAGTGAATATGTTTGAAGACATTTCCAACTAAATAATGGATCAAGGGTATTGACATAGTCATCAAGCGGTGTACAAGGTAACTTGTTAGAGGTGACAGCAGAAAGTATGATTAAAGCAATATCAATAAAATGTGTCATAGAATGTGATGAGTAACGCTTTGTTTCTCTTTTTTCTATTTATTAAATCATACTATATGCATCAATTTCACAACACGAAGATCTATATTTTATCAGTCAATTTAGTACCTCAATTATATTATTTACTTTTGCTTATCACTATGATATATTGATAGTTGATGCCACTATTGAGTTTATTGTTGTTTTGATAGGTTAAAAGAACAAAAAAAATATGAGTCGATCTTTCCCGTCGTTCCTAGTGGGCAAATATTCGATCCGAAAATGTAATATTTCGATATGTATATTTTTTATTTTTGTATCTTATTTTCTTACAAATAATATGGATGAAAATTCATTGTATAAAAAATGTGTCTAATAATTTAGGTCCATCTTTTTTTGTCTCATCATATTATCTTCGTCTTGTGATTAATGTTGAAAAGAAGTTACATTTGTATCTGTTATAGCATTACGTGACTCAATAAATGTTTCATAGAATGAAGATTTGGCTAATGAAAGTCAATGTAAAGAAGAAATTTTATGATTGTGATAGCAAATTATATCTATGCATTACTATTATCTCAAACATTGCATGTTTGACTCACAGTTCGTGTACATGTTAATGATGATATAAACATCTTTTGTTAAATGTCCATAGCAAATAATTTGTAATCATTATTATCATGTGTGATACTCTCCTTTTATTAATATTTTAAACGGAATCCTCATGAGTTTTATCAGAATTTAATAAATAAAAGTAACTATTAGATACATGTCATTGATTATGAATAATAATATTAATATTAACGTATGACTAACATTTTTCACACAGTTACACTTTTCAAAAGAAAACAAAAGTAGATCATTCAAATTAGATGTGATTCTGTAATGAAATCACTTAAATACGAGAGTAGGTATAGCTCTGAGATGTGGGTTTCGTCGAATGCTGGTAAAGAAATCTTTCTGCTGTTACTC